AGGGTCAGGCAAGGAAGAAAGTGTCTGTATTTTTCCTAGAAGTGCTTGGAGGATGTTATGGCTCATAAAACATGTGTGCTTTTACAACTGCAGCATTTATGACAGCAAGAAATGAATACCTCTTCCTGTTTGTGACTATACTAGACAGTGACTCGGGAAAAGGGGAGTAAGGCTAAATGGCTCATTAGTTTAAAATACACTCATGGGTATTTTTCTGGAGAAATGCCAAGAAGAGAATCTCAAAACTCATCTTGCTTCAGACTCGATCACCCACCGCGAACTCAGCTAGTGTTTATGGGACTCCTGACATGTGCCAGGACCTGTATTGATCTAAAGATTCAGGTGCCAGCCACTGCAATTACTCCTTGACCTTGACTTACAAAGGCCATAAAAGACCAGTGCTGACCACTCCTCTGAGAGTAGCGGAAATATAGATGAGGAATGCACACAAATGCCCACTCACTGGCCTCCAGTGAGCCCTCAAGAAGATACTCTGCTCTTGCCCACCAATCTTCTCTCTTCCCTGCTTGAAGAATTAGAGTGATTGCAAAAATGCCTCCTAGATCGTGGTTAGTTTTAGTATTCCTACATATTTCCAACTAAGCCACCTCCTCCCCAAAAAGTAATAAGAGAATAAGAAAATTAATGTGAGTGAAAATTCCCTGACCTACAGAAACTCAGAGGGGGGAAAAGTAGCAGCTTGCCTGACATGGCTAATCATCGCTGGTGGAACAAGCTTCCCACCAAGCGCATGCCCATGGTATACAGATTTGTCTTTTCTGGCTCTGGCTCCTGACCACGCCTGGCAACTTTCCACAGACATTTCTAGAGCCATGACTAAGCTCCAAGCTGAGTCTGATGAAAACTTTTAGAGGCTCCAATACCAAGAGTACACCTACCCACCTCTGCATAATTAAACCTTTTTGACGTAAACAAAAACTCAAAACTGCATGTATTCTAAACTAAAAGGATCTCTTTTCCAATTTTTTGCTTTGCAAAGCTTGGGCGAAAGTCTCTAAAGTTGACCTTTACCCTGTCTTCTGCTTTCTTTTCTGTCCTTCTTTCTGGTAACTGAGAAATGGAGTATTTTGCTAATTGAATTATCCAGCAGAAGTGTCAGGCACTATCTGAGGCACCAGGAATATGTAACGGTAAGCCAGACAGACCAGGTCCCTGCCTGCTTCAGCTCTAGCTCAACTTCTGCTAGACAGACAGAAGCCCCAAGTACAAAAATAAATATCACCCCCAAGAGTGGTATGCTCAGGAGGGGAAATAAAATTAGATCCTGATTCTCAGTGAATGTTTTGAAAAGGCATTAAAGGGGGGACAAATCACATTCTTCTGGGGTGTTATTAGACTCCATCACTTTCAGATTTGAAAGTCAGTGTTGCAGTGGCCAATATCCCTCAAGAATTGCCATTTCCTTGGTGGCCTCAGAGTAATCCAGTAGCAATGGACAGGAGCGAGGGCTGGATGACAGTAAGACATCTGATTGACCTGGTACCACCAGCAACTGTTTTAAGAGCAGGCAGTGAGCCAGCTCTAAAGTAGAAATCTTACCCCAAAAGTCATTTTTAAAAAAAGATTTATTTATTTATGAATACAAGAACTGGGGTATAAGCCAGAGGTGTGAGCAGGCAGTGAAAGGACTCACCAGACAGAGTGAGGAGCAGAACAGGCAGATCTATTGAAATACACTGCTGAGTGGAGCACTGGGCAAGACAGGAGAGGTCTGCTGTGCCATGTGGGTCAGCTCCCTGGCCGGGTATTGAACTCAGGCCAGTGTCTGGTCATAGCTTGATAGTGCTGAGACTTTAACCCCTGTGCCACCAGGAAGGCCCATGTTTTATCCTTTCAAATTTCTTAAAAAAAAAAAAAAAAAAGATTTATTTGTTTGTTTGTTTGTTTGTTTATTTATACAAGCACTGGGTACAGTCAGAAGTGTGGGAGGGTGAGAGAATTCACCAGAGCCAGAGCGGGGAGCAGAGCAGGCAGAAGGACCGAAGTACACTGCTGAGGGGAGCAGCGGGTGGCAGGAGAGGTCTGCGTGCCATGTGGGACCCTCGCAGGAGGCCTGGGATTGAACCAGCGCTGCAGAGGCTGCGGGCATCTTCGCAGCCCAGCACTCAACTGCTACACCACCAGGGGAGGCCCCTTTCAAATTTCTTTATTCATTCCTATTTCTCACGCAATAATCTTTCTCCCATGATAGACATTCATTATTAAGAGAAGCAACAATAAATGACTTTAGATGCTGTTTTTGAAGAGAGAATCCCAGCTGATGTTTTGGGGACAGTTGGAATGTTGTGGTCTTCAACATCTACCAAGTAGCACTACCAGTCTCCAGATGCATAGTGACATTCTGGGCCACTAAAATCCATCCACATAGGAGAATAAAATGCATGCCCAAATTATAGCATCCCAGCAAAGCAAAGGCAATGTAAGCACACAAATACATAATGACAACAGGTCTCTAAGCCAAAAAGAATACTCCAAACTCTTGGTTGAGTATCTGCTGAACCAAAAATAAACAGGAACTTCAAAAATAATTCTCAGAGAAAACTAAATGAAGCAAAAGACCAACGAAGGTGGTTACCACTTTCTTCTCAAGAGGATGCAGCTCCAAATCTCCCCAATTCTCTTTCAGAAGCCCACCTACAGTTTTCTGCTTTGCCAAAAGATCTGTTCCTTTATCATTTCTGCCAATAGCAAGTAAGGAAACAAATTTAAAAATAAGCTCATTTTAAGCTGCTTCTCCTTTCCCTAAGCTCATCAAAATTACAGATACTAGACAAGTAGTCATGTTAACAGAGCTCAGGTTTCCAGTCCTGTGCTACATGTATGTAATGTATCCACTTAGTAGAAATCTTGGCAGTTTCTTGGCTGCTCATATGCTCTGTTGGGCTTCCTTATTCTGTACACACTCGGCCTTGTCTGGAATGATCATTGCCTTTTATCACCTAATTCCTGTAGGACGTGTAAGACTCTGTTCAGAAGTAATTTCCCTGAGAGCTCCCTGGCCCCTACCCCTAGACCAGGTCCCTATTTTCTGAGGTCTGTGTTTCCTCCTGTTACAGTGCAAAGAATCATGACACTTATCCCTCCAGACGCTGGGAGGTGTTATGGTTTAGGGCCAGGGTTCTGGTGTCAGTTGGTGTGATGCCTCCACTCTCCAGGAGTAGGAAAATGGGCAAGTTCCTTGACAGCCCTCAGCCCTGTTTTCCATGAGGACATAAATAGCATCTGCCTTAGAGGGTCACTATGAAGCAGAAGGAGATAGTACATGGGAAGGGTTAAGTGTCACTACTCGTTCAATAAATAGCAGCTACAATACTGCATTTTCCAAGTCCCTTGAGTTATTCACCACCATTGCCTCCCTGGCTAGAGCATGGAGAAATTGGAGAGGAGTAATTTGGGATGGTAAGTTGGTACTTTGAATGCCAAGGAAAATATTTTGTTCTGTGTCTTGAAGGCCATGAGGTGTCATCAAGGGTTTTTGAGGAGAATGTGTCTTAACTAAGTGATGGTTGATTAAAAGCCCTCAAGAGGCAGGCTAGGAAGACTAGAGAAAAGGAAAATCCAGATGGGAGGACACCATCAGCAGGCTGGGGCAGGGTCATGGGAGAGAAGTGTGCTGAGGCCTAGCATGGAGACACAAGTGGAAAAAGCCAAACATGGAAATGACAGGTTGGATTTGTGAAAAGGGGAGGAAAATTCCAGGGCTAGAAACTGAGAGGAAGCAGTAGGTGACATTAACAGAATTACAAAGCAGGGGAAAGAGAGTTGGAGAAACAAAGGAGTCAATCATTTAAAAGCAAGCGCTACCTTCAGGAGGGCTCCGGTAGAGATTAGGTAACATGGCTTGAGAGTAAATGGTGCCTGCTGGTCTTTACCCCAGCCAGGTCACCACCAGCACAGAACTGCTCACAGACCCAGACAACCCCACATACCACACATACATACAGAGAGCCAGGGACACCCCACACAGATGCAGAACAAATTCTCTCCTGCTGATGGAACTGTCTTCTCTCATAGTCACACTGAGACACAATCCCTCATTCACAATCACACTCATGTACACTTACAGACACATGGACAGGAGGATTTAAGATAGCAACCTGATCCAGCGTCATTGTGACATGAGGATCACTGTTCATGGGGAGTGTAACGATTAGAACCAAATAAGAGATCCTGAATTGAGTCCAAATCTTATCCAAAAAAAGGTGTTCAGGAAACATTATCAGATGGGAGATGGTGATTTCATCCCTAAAGTCATAGTTTAGTGTTGCCTCTGAGCTTCATATTCAGGCACATGAGCGGTGGTTCCTTCCTTTTCCATGCAGACTTGGCACTGAGTCATACACTGCATGCCTGGATCCTCACCTCGAGCCTGGAGTTTCCCAGTGCTCGTCTTGTTATTACTCCCATATCAAACATAGGAACACCAAAACTCAGGGAGAAAAAGTGTTTTGCTCCAATCATAAATGACATACTAGGAATAAAATTCAAGTCTGTCTGAGTCAAAAAGCAGTTACTCTCCTACTACTACATAGCCCCTAAACTCACCTGCAAAGTAGGGCTGAAGTATGAAAAAGCCCTCACGTGATGTATGGCTGCAAGGGCCAAGTGTTGCGCCTGATGAGAAAAATGGAGCCATATTCCTTTTCCTGTATCATTTCTTAGAATGGTTCCAATTTTTAAATTGTGGTGGAAAAGGAAAATAAAGCAAAATGCCATTATTTGTTCAAGTAATAGAAGCAATAACAAGATGTTAAGGTGCCATAAAGTAGAGCAGGAAAAGCCTCAGGACAGACGTTTGAAGTTGAGCTTCAAAGACAAGCAGAGAGAGAGAGAAAATTCCCTGGGGGTGCTGGAAGAAGAAAAGGGAGAACTGGGGTGCAAGATTCCCATCAACCCCAGTATTCTCATTCCCAGTGCTTTGGGGTGCTGGAGTCAAAAGAACCACAGGTGGTCTGAACCGTATCTTTCTTTCTCGATAGATTCCAAGAGGACAGAAGTTGGGACCTTCACCACAGCGAGGCTGTAAGTATTTACACTGATGCCTTTTCTTGTGGGGAAGAAGGTCATAGCTAGAAGTTCTGGTATGTAGGAAATGCAAACCCAAGGCAGTGAGTCGTCCTCCCTGGCAGTGAGAAAGCAAAATGGTGTTGCAGCCAAGTGCCCAGTTTACAGAGTTGACAGTCTATGGGCAAATAATTTCATTGGTCTCTGACTTAATTTACTCACCTGTAAAAATGGTTGTAAGTGTCTGCCTCTCATAGTTAGTGTTGAATTAAATTAGATAATGCCTATAGATGTATTAGAATAATGGCTAGCGGGGCCTCCCCGGTGGCGCAGCGGTTGAGCGCTGGGTTGCGAGACTGCCCTCGGCCTCTGCGGCACCGGTTCGATCCCCGGCTGCTCCCCGGCCACCGGAGGCAGGTCCCACATGGTGCGCAGACCTCTCCTGCCGCCCGCTGCTCCCCTCAGCAGTGTACTTCGGTCCTTCTGCCTGCTCTGCTCCCCGCTCTGGCTCTGGTGAATTCTCTCACCCTCCCGCGCTTCTGACTGTACCCAGTGCATGTATAAACAAACAAATAAATAAAATAAATAAATAAAACATGCCTCTATTAAAAAAAATTCTTAAAAAAAAAAAGAATAGTGGCTAGCAACTCACAATTGTGCAAGTAACACTGCTGTCAGAACACACTTGACTAATATATCATCTCTGAGGACCAAAAGGAAATTCAAGTATCTCCTGGAGAACTGATGAGGAAACAGAGGCCCGAAGCAGTAAAGAGATCGCTACAGAGTGGCTTCCATTCTGTCCTCAGTTCTACCATTCAGTTACCTCAGTGGATATGAAGGAGGCAAAGGCCAATTAGCTCTCACAGAAGCAGCAGGAGAGAAGAGGCAAGGTGAGCTTTTCTGAGCACTGCCCACGTGCGAGGAGACATTCTGAGCACTCTCTTCGTGGTAGGAATTGGTATGCGCACCTTAGGATTGGGGAAATAGAGTCTCAGAGGCTAGATAACTTGCCCAAAGTCTTGGGCTGAAATTCACCTGTGGTGAAGCCTCCTTCTCCTCAGGCTCACCTTACCACAAACAAACAAAAAGCACCGCACAGAGTGGAACACTCTGAAGCTAAAGGAGAGGAATGCTTCTCTCCAGTTCCAGGCACCAAGCAACGGGCCATTCACCACTGTCATCCTCTGACTCATACAAAGTGTATTTCTCCTTTCCTTACAGATGAATCTCTTCCAATACGCAGAGAAAAGCCAAGGGCACACCTGACAGGTAATTCCCCAGCATGTTTTCAAGGAAACTATGGATCAGGGGCTTCCAATTTCTTTCAAAGTGTGCCCAAACTCATTTAAGTTGTTTCCAACTAGAAAGTACATTCCTTGGTGATAAGCTCTTCCTGGGGCATAGGGTTTGCCGAGGTCTTCCTCCCTAGACTGCTCCAAAGGCCCTTGTCTCTCAGGTATTTTCTTTCAGATTCTATCCACCCCCTTCCTTCCTCTTTTGTTTCCTTCATTCACATTCTCAGTCATTCAAAAATGGCTTTCTGCTATACAGAGAAGAATACCATGTGTTTTCACTCATACATGATATACAGACAAAACAAACATATCAACTAAATAAAACAATAATAAACTTTTGGACTATGAAACTAACTAGTGGTTACCAGCAGGGAAGGGGGAAGAGGGACAGACAGATCTAATTGTCTAAGGGGACAATTGTATGAAGGCTACAACTGGAATTTAAGTGGTCATCTTTAGTGTAGTATATACACAAGTTGATTTTCCATGATACCTACCTGCAACTCACATGGTAAAATGCAATGTTACTTCAGATAATAACAATAACTTTCCTCAGACTCAAAGAATCATGTGATTCTGACTCTGATAAAAAATAAAAGATTGCCAATTTATTGAGTCTATCTGTGGCCTATTCAAGATGAAGTATTGGACAGTCACATCCAGGTAGGTATTTCTAAACAGTCTTCATTGACATAAAGAGATTGAGGGTAGCCTCATACATCACCAGCTGGTCTGCTTTCCAAGTCCAGCATCACAATTTTCACATCCCACATCTAGAACTGCCCGAGACTGCAGAGAAGAGAGCAAAGCTACTAGTAGTACAGAAAGGTGTGAAAACACCACTGAAAAACTAGAGAGCTAAAAAGCAAGCACACTCTACTGAACAGTAAGAAAACCTGCAACCCACAGGGGGATATTTTTGTCACCAGAGACATTTGTCTTCACAACTGACAAGGAGGAACTCTTTGAGACCGAGGCCAGGGAGATGCTAAGTCACCATCACTTGGCGCTTGCCTGTAAGAATGGGAAATATTGAACAGTCTGGGCAAGAAAATCCTAAAAATGGAGTGTGGGTATGTCACCCATCATCCCACCAAATGAGGCAAGTAGAAATATAATCCAAGCTCTACTGAGTTTTGAGCAGCAGGAGGCATCTGACATTCCATGATCTCACTTAATTTGCAGATTAGCCCAAACAGACAGGGAAATGGAGGCTCTGACAACTGATTCGTTTGTCCCAAGCCACGTAACCAGGAAGAGCTGAGACTCGAGTCTGGCTCTCAGCACTGCACCAGTAACATTACACCAACTTCCTACCCAAACTCCTACTTGCTGCTGTGCTGACATAACTAATTGCAGAGCAATTTAACAGATCTTTCTTTGCCGCCAGTCTAAATGGTTTTTGCTTTTGCATCATTTGAGGGGATTTTTTCTTTTTTAATCTACTACATTAGTCACAAAGGAGAAGTAGAGATATCAGGGACAACTAAAAAAAAAGTCTTCCACAGATTTGGCAAATACCAACAGAATTCTCCAGAAACTATTTAGTGCAATGGTCAGGGGAAACTACACACATTCCGAACATGTTGCAAAAGAAACCACAGTCCAGTTAGCAATAGGAAAGATGCTTTAGAAAAATCCAGAAAACATGTTTCTGGTCAACCACCAGGTGTGAAAATTGCTAACCACATCTTTAAACATAAACTATTCCCAAAGTGTGGCTGTCAGTACGTGATAGTAGTTGCTTGGATTTCAGAAGCAGTCATAGGAAATGAAAAATGTTTTCATTTTTCTGGAAAACTATTAGTTTTATCACAGATAATCTTATTTGAAATTGAGGTTTGAATCAACAGTTTGATTTTATCCACTTTTTTCTGCAATAGACACAAATCATTAACAGTGTTCATTCATATATTTTACATAACATATACTTGTAAATAACATGAAAACAAGGACATATAAATATGCAAAATGAAGTAGGCTTATTTTTGTCATCTGTCAAAATGAACGATGCTAACCTAATACATATGTATTAAGAACTGGCTGTATCCAGTGACCGGGATTAAAAAAAAAGTCCACGTCTCTTCCATTCACTTGATCTTCAGAACAAGACTATGAGGGAGATTTATCTCCAGGTCACAGGAAGCTGAGACTCAAAAGGGAGAAGGAACCTGCATGGCTAATTAATAATTTACCATGGTATAGAGTCAGAACTGCAAATGGGCCTAACTGGCCCAGAGCTTTGGACAACAGGGTTGGAAAGGAGTAACAGGAACATCTGACTCTCTCTCTCTGAAATGTCCTCTCTTTGCTTCAGTTTGTTTTTGGTTTCTTATTTGTTTTCTTTGGTCTGAAACAACAAGGTTAATAAAAACAAATGGGACTTAGAGACTATGTCCAACAGCTAAGGATCTTATACATCTCTTTTAATGTTTTTATGGGCATTATCATCTCCTTTTTCTTTCTTTTTTTCTTTTCGTTACTCTTTAAGAAAAGCTAGATCAGGGCCTCCCTGGTGACTTCAGGTTAAATCTCAGCACAATTACCAGTGTGGCCTGAGTTCTATCCCCGGCCAAGGAGGTGATCCACATGGTGCAGCTGACCTCTTCTGTCTCCCCTGTTGCTCCCCTCAGCAGTGTATTTCAATAGATCTGCCCGTTCTGCAACCTACTCTGCCTCTGGTGAATCCTCTCACCCCTGGCACCTTTGGCCTGCACCCAAGTTCTTCTATGCAAAACAAATTTAAAATTTTAAAAAAGAAAATACATCCTGACTCAGTAAGGAGAGCTGCTATACAGTGGGGTGGTGGGGGAAGGGAGGGACTCTGCAGCAGAGAGAAAGGTCTGACCCTAACATTTGCAAGTGTCTCAAGAGTTAGGCTAAAAGGGTTTTCACCAGTTTTGGATTTTTTTCTATATTTACTTAATTATTATTGTGGTAACGCTGGCTTACAGCACTGTATATGATTCAGGGGAGTGGGCTCTCACCTTCTCAGATGTGAATCACCATGCCACAGCCCCCAGCAGGGCACGTCCACCTAAAAGGGTTTTTTCTTTTATAGAAGGAATAAGCAAAGCCAGTGGTGGAGAAAAATGCAAGGCTGGAAAGATGGGAGCAGAGCTGCTTTACCCCGATTCTGGTCTATTCTCATGAGAGACTGTGCTCACCTAGGCAGAGGGTGAGCTATAGCTCAAGAGCTTGGAAGAAGAGAATCTTGCCCAAAGACAGGTTTCATTCTGATGGATCCATGGGAATAAAACAGTTCAGCTAATCACTTCATAAATGAGAATTTGGAGGGGAGATTCTCTGGCCTTGTCATAAACAAGGGGGGCATCCACCAGTATTATCTAAGTCATTTGGAAAGAGTGGTTCTTTGCAGTAAGGTATTTTTTGAAACATAAAAGAAAGAAAGACTGCTTAACCTTCACCGTTTTCCAAGATCACAGAACTCAGGTAAAATTCAAAATTGTCAGATAAGAAAAGCCAGGCTCACAGAGGCAAAGTAATTTTCCCCAGGTCTACTCTCTGAGCAAAGGTACATATCCACTCGTGGATCTTCCACTTGTTTCTCCACAAGGCATTTATTAGTCACTGGTTTTAATCGGTCACTCTACTCTTCGAAAATGTTTTAACAAAGTGCACAGGTGCCAGCACAAGCCAAATCAAACCTCTCTCTTGTCTTTGCAGTTGTGAAACAAACTCCCACCCAGTCCATGAAAGATCAGTTTCCAGCTCTTCATTGGGAACATGAACTTGGCTTGGCTTTCACCAAGAACAATATGAGCTACACCAATAGATTCCTGGTGATCCCAGAGCCGGGAGACTACTTTGTTTACTCACAGGTCACATTCCGAGGAACCACAACTGAGTGTGGTAAAAGCCAAATGAATCAACCACAACTGAACAGGCCAGATGCCATCATTGTCGTCATCACCAAGGTAACAGACAGCTACCCAGAGCCCACCCAGCTTCTAATGGGGACCAAGTCAATGTGTGAAAGAGGCAGCACCTGGTTCCAACCCATCTACCTAGGGGCCATGTTTTCCTTGCAAGAAGGGGACAAGCTGATAGTGAATGTCAGTGACATCTCTCTGGTGGATTACACAAAAGAAGATAAAACCTTCTTTGGAGCCTTCTTGATATAGGGGCAAAAGATGACTTTGTTATGTGAAGCTCCACTGCCTCCGAGTTCTAATTTTCTACATTCACATGTAATTATAATCAGTTTTCCTTATGAAATTTAGGGACCCAAAATTCACACTTTATATGGTTTACTAATAAGCCTACAGAAGACAGCAGACATTCTTTATTATCTTAAAGAAATGAAAGAACTGGTATTTTTTATGAATATTCTCAAAAAAGAAACTGATTTTCTTGCCATGCTTTGGCAAATAAGAAAAAATATGTTTTTTATATACACAGCAAGCATGAGTTCCATATGTGTATCCAAATTACAAAAAAATAACATTTATTTGGCACAGTGTTTTTGAGCACCTATTATGTTCTGGGTAATACCTTAACCCAGAAGACAATATTAGGAACAAAACAGACTCTACCCAAAGTTTCTATGAAAACTATTGGATGTCTCCCAAACAAATATCACTGAACACAGTCCAAGGTCTGACTCCAAGTCCTAAAACATATATATCATCTAATGTAGTTAAAGATGATTTCTAGAGCTCTCTGGATTGTGTAAGATGTCCAGCTGATTAGCTCACTCAAGAAACTTGAAGATAGAGTCCGAGTTAACTAGACCGACTAAACAACAAATTTGCTTGATGCCAGGAGATGGTGGACTTATTCCCTGGGGGTGGGAGGGGGACAGGAAGTCAATTACTGAGTGTGGAACAGCTAATATAGATAAGCTTTGAGGTTTGAGTCACAACTTTATAAGCCGAGTGTTACGTGGGTATTTTTCTCTTAAAATAGTCAAAGATGGGATTCTCTTATTAGCCCAGCCTAGGCTCCTTTCCTGAAGGTGGGGCTAGACATTGAGATGATCCCTCCTAAGCGCAATTGGGTTCATATCCTCTGCTCTAGATGGTTTTCTTAATCAATATGTCAAGGGGTGGGGCTGGGGGTAGGGTGGGGGGGGAGGGCAGGTTGGGGGTATCTGTGCTCTCTTAGTGTCTATTGACTTGCTTGTAAAGCTGAAATCCATTCACTCATTTCTCAGGATCCAATCAGTTCATGGAGACAAGACGTGTTAACTTTAAGTATTCTGTGAGGTCTGTGAGGGTGTTTGTGTGATGTGGGAAGTGACAGCCAGGACTTTGACCTCTGTTATGAATGCTCCCCACAGAAGGAATTCTCACAGATGTGTTTCAAAGCAAACTCGGTAACAAAATCATTTTTATATTTGGGAAGCTATAGAGGCAGGATGACTTGGTATAGCAGCAGTTGATCAATATTTGTTGAGTCAGAATAAACTGAAATTGATTTTCAGCTTTTCAGCAGGGAGGCTAGCACAGGGCTCCAGAGTGCACAGAGAAGGGTGTGGTCACCTACACCTGGTTCAGAAGAGCCTTCAAAGAGGAAGTGAAGGCTGAGCCCAAGTCAGCCAAGAAGGTGGGTGGGCAACAGATAGCCTTGGGGAAAAGGCATCTCAGGGGGAGGAATTACTCTTTTCATTAGCAGAAAGGAAAGGTTTCTCAGTAACTACAAAGCCTGCTTGATATAAGAACGCTCCCTCAACTGACTCAGAACAATATTTATTGGTAGATCAAGAATGTTTTACCAATGACTCTACTGTGGTTCCATGATCTGAAAGAACAACCCATTAAGAAAATAGAATACTCTATCTGGAACACCAAGCAACTGGGGGTGCAGGAAAAGATTTGCACATAAGCAGCCAGAATGGCCTGCTCACCTTCTCCACCGAAAAGAACCCTATACCAGGGCCTTCACACCTGTCACTGTTCCAGAGGGGGTCAGGTGGACTTAGAAGTTTATCCAAGAAATAGCAATATCCTAATACCCTAAAAAGACTGGAGGCTTTGGGAGAATCCTGACCATAGGCTAATTTTGTTCTCATCTTAAGCTTATTTATTGAAGAATACATCGAAGCTCAAGTTGGCACTAGTGAATTTACTAAATTGCCTGTGACATAACTTTTACTCTTTAGAAAGGCCCAACCAGTCTTTCCTAGTAGGACTCCAATCCAGACTTCTGTTTCTTAGACATTATGTCCGTGGAAAAAACTAGTGCACTTGATTTGAAAATAGTTGCTAATAACCAGTATAGTGATAGCCTTTGAAAGGAGTAAATGGGGTGCAGTCAAGAATTCAGAAATGGGGAAAGGGGCATGCATTGAAAAACATCTAATGGGGCAGGGAGAGGCGGGGATGCTTTACTGGTTCAATCTCTCTCAAAAGGCTGAAGTCAAATCAATTTCACAAACATTTACTGAGTACCTGCTTGCCCTGGAGACCAAAGATAAATTATTTTAGTCTCAGACATGTTCATTCTAGCTGCTCAGCATGCCCCTTATCTGCACATCCTTTAATTTATTTTGGTTATATTAGCTAATTAATTAACTAACTTTTGGCACATGAATATTTTCTCATTACGAAAATGGGTGCCACTGGGCAAAGGATGATCATTAACAAAATGATTTGTGTTTGCTCTAAGTGGCTTTTAAAATAGCTACTCAAGGGCAGTTTTCCATAAATAAAAGAAGAAAAATAAAGATACCATTTTCTATGGCATAATTCATTATTTAAATCACATTTGGAAAGAGATTATTATCTGTGGGACTTAAGTTTGGCCATCAAAAACCCTGAAAATCTTAGGACCTTATGGAGTACCCATAAAAGCCTGCATGCCTCAGCAAATGCAGGAACCATGATCAAAATGCATGGGGTCACTAGCATGTTGACCTAGCATGGTTTAGCTCTGTTTGGTGGAACCATATTGCTTAGACTACCAAAATTCCTTGTTTAAGGTACAGCAGGAAGTGAAAAGGTTCACTTTCATGACCCGAAGTTGTCTGGTTCAGTTCTGAAACAGGGAATTCCAGAACCTTTGCTTCACTTCATTCTAACCTACGTCACCCCAGAGGAAATTCCATCTCTGTGCTTGTCAATAACCTCTCCAGATTATCAAAATTTAAACAGTTCACTGTGCATGAGGCATGTCCACTGGCAAAATTCTCTTGCAAGGTATTTTCCCATGTCCTTACCCAATCACATGTCCATGATTGTGACACAGGGGATTAGTTCTTCAGGACAGGACTGTTTATAGTCTTCATCTTGCAAAATGCAGGCTAAAGTCTATTGTCTCCAGATTTCTCACCCTCCTAGGGGCCAGAGTCCTGGAATTATTTGCCTTATTTGAAATGTATATCACTATCCTAGTTATTAGCAACGATTGCATCATGTTGGCAGCTGGGCTGTTAACCCCTGAATTCTTTTATCCCCCTGGTGAGAGAGCATGAGTCAGAGCAGTCACATCTGTGCCTGCACCCATCTGACAACTATATTTAAAATGTCCCAAGCTGAGACACATTCGCTCCACTCCTCTATGTTCCCATTTTAAGAAGAAAATACCGGCCTCCCGGGTGGCACAGAGGTTGAGCGCTGGGCTGCGAAGCTGCTCCCAGCCTCTGCAGGGCCAGTTCGATCCCCAGCCGCCAGGTGAGGGTCCCACATGGCGCGCAGACCTCTCCTGCCACCTGCTGCTCTCCTCAGCAGTGTACTTCGTCAGTCTGCCTGCTTTGCTCTCCCCTCTGGCTCTGGTGAATTCTCTCACCCTCCTACACTTCTGACTGTACCCAGTGCTTGTATAAATAAATAAATAAATAAATCTTAAAAAAAAAAGAAGAAGAAGAAAATACCATACCAGCCCAAATAGAAGTTACATGTTCATGGCCACACAGGGAGTTAATGGCAGATCTAGAGCTAGGATACTGTCTTCCTAAATCATAATCCTAAGCTCATCCAATTACCCTCTGCTCTTAACAAATGGCATCCCTTTCAATAACTGATGGAGAAATTGGAAGAAGATTGAGAAGTATCATCAAAATACCTATGTGTGTAATGCAGAAGGGGAAAGGAGATTTCTTCCCCATCTCCTTAGAGGAAAGAGCTTGAGCTAATGAATTGTGTTTACAAAATCACTTCTGATTTTCTCACCCAAAATAGAGTATCTCCAGATAGTGATGACACAGTCCTTTGGAAATACTCAAGTAAAGAGTTTATCTCAAGGGCTTTATAGAAGTCATCACTCCAATTGAGATGGGAGGAGGGATTGAACTAGAAAATTTCTAAGGTCTTTCCAAATCTGTGACTATGTTACCATTTTTTATTGACTTTCATGCATTCTGTTTCCTGCCAGGCCTTGTCAAGAACAGTGGCGTCCAGCCTAGAATTGGCCGCCACTTCCCACTTGTTCAGAGAGTGTCTGACACAGAGTGTCCGAGATTTGGGCCAACAGGGACTGTCATGACATTTGTAAGATGATGGGATCTGCAGAGTTTATCTATTCCAAGTTACATCATTTTAAGGAGGAAGAAACGGAGGCTCAGAAAAATGACGTAAATGGCTCAATGCCAGACAATAGTCAGTAGCAGTGTTAAGACTAGACTTTTGGCTCCTGACACCAAGTCCAGCAATCCTTCCATCTCAGCCATGGATCTGTTATCGTTTAAGCATCCATCTCAGGGTAATCACCTACATGCTGGAGAGCCAAGGCAAGAGGGAACACGGTAGTCAAGTAAGCCTTACAGTGCCAGCCTTTAGGAGGAGACACACAACACTGCGCGAATAAAGTAGTTGAACTTAGTGAAATGATTTTATTCATAAAGTCATTAAAATATGTAACTTTTCCCCCTTTTGTGTCAGGGGTGTACAGAATGAACAAATGTGTTTATGGGGTTGTAGTGATGGGAGCCTCACATGCTTTCATTGATTTTATGTTTTATGTTAAAACGTCCTAACCCCAAGGTAAACTGCATCCTGTGTGTTGATGGATACATACTTAACGGGTATGCACCCCAAGTCTAGAGGCACTACTGCATGAATTCCCACCTCTGTGAATGACATTTTATGTGTTAATGTACTTAATAGATGTAACTTAATAAACTGGCATTGAAAACTATAGAAGTTTATCTATTGGATCAATTCCTTTATTAAATCTGGTCAACTCTTTTTCTTTCTCA